AGGAGGGTGCTGAGTGCGATGCAGGCCGCAGCGTCACGCGACGTCCAAGCCGTCCGGTCAGCGCGCTGACGGGCAAAGCGAGCCGTAGCAGCGTCGTCAGGAGCAGGGCCTAAAGCTGTAGGCTCGGGGGGCTCGGGGAGGTCACCAGTAGCGTGTGACCAGAGGGTCTCGCCCCCCTGGACCTGACTCTCTAACAGACGACGAGCGCGAAGAAGCCAGACGGAAAAGTCAAGGGGTCTACCGTCGGCGTCGAAACGAAGAACTCGCGGAGTCGCCATAGTGAGAACCAACGCGAACGAACAGGCGAGTAACAACCGGGGGGGGAGAGGACTCAGTCGCAGCGGAAGAGCGGGCTAGGGCGACGGGCCAAGACGTAGGGTAGGGCAACGGGCCAGGGCCTAGGGTAGGGCGACGGGCCAGAGCCTAGGGAGGGCGACGGGCCAAGGCCTAGGGAGGGCAACGGGCCAGGGCCTAGGGAGGGCGACGGGCCAGGGCCTAGGGAGGGCGACGGGCCAGGGCCTAGGGAGGGCGACGGGCCAGGGCCTAGGGAGGGCGACGCGACGGGGGAAAGGGCGGGAGCGACGCGACGGGGCAGGGCGACGCGACCGGACAGGGCGACGCGACGGGGCAGGGCGGCGCGACGGAGCAGGGCGACGGGACAGGGCAGGGCGACGTGACGGGGTAGGGCGACGCGACGGGACAGGGCGACGGGACAGGGCAGGGCGACGCGACGGGACAGGGCGACGGGACGGGGGGGGGGGGGGGGGGGGGGGTAACAGGCGGGCGCGACGCGACGGGGGGAACGGGCGCGACGCGACGGGGGGGAACGGGCGCGACGCGACGGGGGGAACGGGCGCGACGCGACGGGGGGAACGGGCGCGACGCGACGGGGGGAACGGGCGCGACGCGACGGGGGGGAACGGGCGTGACGCGACGGGGGAGATGGCGCTAGGCTCGGTACTAGGCGCGGGAACAACGAAACTGGTACGAACGAGAGGTAGGATCAGGCTCGGGAGGTACGAACGGAGAACGGAGGAACGGGATCCCACAGGATCCTAACCTAGCTGATACCATGTCAGAATGAGGAATGGATGTTCCATTGATGTTGGTTGGGGTACATATAACAAACCCTAACTTCTGTACCCCCTAAGACAAACCTCACTACAGGCTACAACATTTGACAATGCCAACTACCGCGCGCGCGCTCCATGCGTTTTCCTTACAAAATCCAAACCACCTGATGGCGCAACGAAATGGGCGTAAGAGTGGTTACACTACCGATTTGGATTATGGACGGTCGCACGAAAGCGACGTCGCAACCACTGTTCTACAGTATTTGTATATAAACTTTGTTGTTGACACTTTGGTGTAATTCTGACAAGCAGAATGTCAAAATGGCCAAGTCAAAATTCTATATGGTTTGGCTCATAACTCCATAATTTGTTGGTCATTTGCACACAAATATGGATTTCCAACATCTCCTTGATGTCCTCTACCAGCGGGCATGAGTTTGTTATTTTGTCAAATTTGTTACATTTGAACACTTTTGGGTCAACTAAGGTTGCTCATAGCACATGTAAAGTCATTCTCTGGGCATCACACACATGTGTTATGTGGTGACCATATTTTTTTGCATTGTTAGTGTTATGACACCTGTTCCAGCCCCCCTGAACATTTTCAGCTCTATGCAAACTGATTTGGTGGACTTTTTCTTGCAAGGAAGTTAGTGCTGAGTTGCCTGGTGTGATGTGTCAGGTGAAATCACCCACTTCTCCCTGGTCAAATGAGCCCATTTTGATAGAGCACTGTCATCACACCTAGTACTAATTCCCATCCAGTTTTCACTTCATTTCATCAAGGTTTGCCATGCTTTTCATGTTATATTCTGCAGGCGGGTGCAGAATTCTGTGCAGAAATGCCTGGAACCATGTTTCTTGTGAAATTAACCACTTTGCCTTGGGAAAATGATCTGATTTTCATAGGGGAAACTCAACACACATATCCCAGACTCCCCTCTGAAGTTCATCTCATTTGCCCAAGGTTTGATATGGTTTTTAAGCCTTGTTGTGCAGCAGTCTGCAGAATTCTGTGCAGAATTGCCTGGAATCAGGTTGCAACTGAAATCACCCACTTCTCCTTAGGAAAATGAGCTGATGTTTATAGGGGACTCTCATCACACATATTCCAGACTCCCCTCTGAAATTCATCGTATTTTCCCAAGGTTTGATATGGTTTTTAAGCCTTGTTGTGCAGCAGTCTGCAGAACTCTGTGCAGAATTGCCTTGAATCAGGTTGCAATTGAAATCACCCACTTCTCCTTAGGCAAATGAGCGGATTTTTATAGGGGACTCTCACCACACACATAAAAGATCCCCACCTGAAATTAATCTCATTTGCCGAAGGTTTGATATGGTTTTTAAGCCTTGTTGTGCAGCAGTCTGCAGAATCCTGTGCAGAATTGCCTTGAATCAGGTTGCAATTGAAGTCACCCACTTATCGTTGGGCAAATGAGCTGATATTTATAGGGGACTCTTATCACACATATTCCAGACTTCCCTTTGAAATTCATCGTATTTTCCCAAGGTTTGATATGGTTTTTAAGCCTTGTTGTGCAGCAGTCCGCAGAATTCTGTGCAGAATTGCCATGAATCAGGTTGCAATTGAAATCACCCACTTCTCCTTGGGAAAATGAGCTGATTTATATAGGGGACTCTCACCACACATATTCAAGACCCCCACCTGAAATTCACCTCATTTGCCCAAGGTTTGATATGGTTTTTAAGCCTTGTTGTGCAGCAGTCTGCAGAATTCTGTGCAGAATTGCCTGGAATCAGGTTGCAACAGAAATCACCCACTTATCCTTAGGCAAATGATCTGATTTTCATAGGGGACTCTCATCACACATATTCCAGACTCCCCTATGAAATTCATCTTATTTCGTAGAGGTTTGATATGTTTTTCATGCTCTTCTCTGCATGCGGGAGCAGATCACTTTGTTGAAATGTACAACATTTGTTTTGTATTTAAATGCCATTGTTATACGGGTGCTAATGAGCCCTTATTGATAGGGCACTCATCTCACACTTATAGGATTATCCGTTTTAGAATTGGGTGTGCTAATCATGCAAAGTTCATGCTTGTGTTTGTTTTATGGGTTACAAAAACTAGCACTGTACGTGCTACGCGAGTACCCCTATAGCGGTACTGTGGGATGTACACGGTCATTCGGTTTCTGACACGTGTGACAGGTCGCAAAGACTGCTCTATTTCCACGTTGCAGAGGGAACCATGCGGATGGGATAGTTATACTAGGCAGCCTGTTATGAACCTGTCACAGGGCACCTTTCTTTTTTTTTAGGGGCTGCCCGTCACCATTTCGTACTAGGTCGAGGCAAAGCTGAGACCATGCAATGCACCGCAGAACATGCAATATGCTTACATGGCATATAAGGTTGGCAATCAACCAACCAGCAACTGAAGTAGAACATTTAGGAGAACAATCTGGTGACAAATAGGCCAATCACTGCAGAAGGATGCAAAGAGTAGTTCGCATATGTTCGAAGGGAAATGGTGAGAAGCCTAATATTTTGATGTAGGGGGCAGAAAAGTCTTACTACGCCTGGCGTTTGTAGCAAAGCCTTTCCCACCTTCTGTGAGGACAAGAGCACAACCAATTCTACCAGCGAAGCAGAAGTTGTTATCAGGGTGGGTGCACCAAAGCTCAAGGTCATTCTCGCCATTCCAATCTGAGTCTTGGTTCCACAACTAGCCTCCTCACAAGCTTCCCTCTCATTCTAGTGTCGGCCTCAAATCCTGCAGGCGGACAGTGTATGGTAGTAACCGTATAGCTACCTGCCATCTTCTGGCTTACTTACGCGATGTCGTCCCAGTTAATCACAGATGGCTGCGGATTGTCTGTACGACTAGGGCGGGAGTCTTATGAAATGTTAATCGCTTGTCAGGAAGAGTGGAACGAGGCGTTGTTACTTTTCGGCCTTGTGTATGTATCCAAGCGCGGTTTGTAACGCACGCCGACTTCATCGGCACGTTAAACCCTTGTATTTTTAGACACGCACCTGCTATCTTCTTACCTCTGCGACATGTCGGCTTGGATGCAGGGAGGTTGCCAAGGACAAGATCGGGGATCCTCGCGTTCGCAGGGACATAAAGATTCTGGCTCCTACCGAGCATCGGCGTTTGAGGTCTGCCGTCCCGCGTGTCCCCAGTTGTGGCAGCGAACATCGATCGCTGTTGGACTACCAGATGGTTTTGATACCCATGATATTAGAGTGAGTTTCTTGACATGGATCCGCAACGTCTGTCGATGACACCAGCTTATCTTGTTAATCCAAACTTCGATGTACCGCAGAGTCCCTGTTGTTCACTCGACGGCGATCAGTCTCATGGTGCTGATGAACCCGCAAGATTTGTTAGCACATCCCCGCGGAGAGTACCGTACGCGTGTGCTACACTTCGACCCTAAATCTCCAATCCCAACCCATCGCCACAGCGACCATGCCAAGGAGGTGTTCGAGTAAGTGTCACTCCTTAATCAGATGTGCGGTTTGTATGGACGCATGTTATTGATTATTTGCGACCCCCTTGCCCTGCAGCTGGCTTATTCGACAACTAGATGTGGAATACAGCCGAGGTCGCAGGGTCTCTGGCAGCCATGCCGAAGCGGTGCAGAAAGATTTGAGGGATTGCCTAGAGGAACTGATTCTGGAGGAAGGCACGGTAAGGAGCCTCTATTTTTATGATTTAAGCGTTGTATGATATTAAGCTTGTAAAATGTTACGGGAGTGTCTGACAACCACCTTTTCACGCACATGTTGCAGATCAACAAGGTTCAGGGACAGAGGCAAGTGGGTTCCGGGTTGCACGTTACCCATCTGTTCAGCAAGTTGCTGGACAAATGGGGGGATGTCATGGCGATTCAAACTGCAGAGCCGATGATCGCCTTAGGGAAGGGGAAAAACAGCGCGAAAGAATTTCGGAGTATGCTAGAGTCGACCTGCAGGGCCTTCTTCGACCTGCAAGGAGTCCAGCTTCGTCCCGCCCCGGATGCAGTCATGACAACCCATGAGGCTCGAGTGGTGGAGAGCGCACCGGAACGGTCCGGGAATACCATGGAGCCGGCGGCACAGAACAGATCCGAAGCGGTAGAGGGACAGAGAGACGTACCTGCCGCAAACCGGGACGCAAATCCAAGAGTGGGGGAAATTTCATATTCCCGCCGACCTGCACCAGGGGGTGCACTACTGAGTGGCCCGACATCAAGGTCAGCCCGTGCGGACGAGCGTGTTAGGTCTGGAGTTAGGCAGCTCAGGTTTGCTGATCGGGTTAGGAGGCCGCCGTAACGCGAAGCACGGACGGAGACCGACTTGGCAAGTGTAGCAGATGAAGGCGAGGAGGGTGTAGAAGATCCACAGCTGCCAAGTCAGGTCGAACAGGCAGAGGAGCAGTGGAGGAAGGCGGCTGATGATAAGCGGATGGCCGAAGCAGAAGCCAAGAGGAGACGGGCTGAAGAGAGGCAACGGCGCCGTGATGGCGACATTGATCCTATCATCTCTTTCCCGGGAACAGGAGACATACGTGAAGCATGGGAGCGTGGGGCACGAGCCGCTGCAAGGGCACACGTGGGAGTGGCAGGAGAGGAGCTCGCCAGCAATGTGCGGCAGCATATCGAGGAGGATAGGGGATACGTGAAAGTTTGCTTGCCCAGCGTAAAGCGGAAGGCGGCTGAAGAGGCCCGGAGAGGGGACGTCGACGTGCCAGAGAATTCGGGAGAGGTGGAAAAGAAGGCGCAGAGCAACGCGGGTGCAAAGGCTCATAAGATGGTGGAGGTAGAGGCCCACCAGAAAGCAGAGGATGCGGCCCATCGGTTTGTCAATGCAGAGGCGGCACTTACGGCAGAGGACGGGGCGCCAAAGGAAGTAGAGGCTGCGGCGCAGCAGAAGGTGGGTGCAGAGGCGGTCAAGAGTGCGGAGGCAGTCGCGCGTAAAGAAGCGGGTGCAGCAGCAGAGCTAACGTCGGAGGCAGTCGAGCTACATGTGGTGGAGGCAGTGGCGCAGAAGGAATCAGAGGCAACGGCGAGCCAGAAGGATGAGGCAGCGGCGCAACAGAATGATGAGGCAGACGCACATAAGGAATCAGCGGCAGCAGCGCAGCAGAAGGATGAGGGTGCGGCGCCCAGGATGGTTGAGGCAGAGGCGCAGAAGGAATCAGAGGCAGCGGCGCAGCAGAAGGAGGAGGGTGCGGCGCCGAAGATGGTTGAGGCAGAGGCGCAGAAGGAATTAGAGGCAGCGGCGCAGCAGAAGGAGGAGGGTGCGGCGCCGAAGATGGTTGAGGCAAAGGCGCACAAGGAATCAGAGCCTGTGGCGCAGCAGAAGGAGGAGGGTGCGGCGCCGAAGATGGTTGAGGCAGAGGCGCACAAGGAATCAGACGCAGCGGCGAGCCAGAAGGATAAGGCAGCACCGCTGCATATGGAGGAGGCAGACGCACATAAGGAAGGAGAGGCGCGGAATAAGGCAGAAGCAGCGGCGCGGCAGAAGGCGGAGGCAGAGGAGCAGAAACAGGCTGCGGAAGAGGCGCTACAACTGGCTCGGGCAGAAGCGCGGAAGAAGGCTGTTGTAGAGGCGCGGCAGAAGGCGGAGGGTGAGGCGCAGAAGATGGCAGAGGCCGAGGAGCAGAAGCAGGCTGAGGCAGACGCACGTAGGAAGCCAGATGGAGAGGAGGGTTCAGATGGGAATAAAATGATACAGACAGAGGGATGGGAGACGGCGGGTGCTGAGGGGCACATCATCGCAGAGGAAGAGGGGCAGCATGACGAGGAGGCAGCGTCGTAGGTATTCGCATACCGAGAGACGCAGAGCATGGTAGAGACAAAGCGTCAAAATACTATGGAGGATGAGAAGAAACGAGAATGAATGAACTATGAATGAGTTGGGTACAAGTACTAACCCTAATTGGATTGTACCCCTTATGGGCTACCCCACTATAACCTACACAATATGCATGAGCTATAATGTTCTGACACACCCCCATAGGCAAAGTGGGGGAGAACAAGGGGTCACAAGACCAGTCAGGCAAAGCAAAGCAAAGCAAGCTCAGGGTGGATCACAAAGTCACCACACATTCCGAGCACAAGTTCAAGGCCACAAGGCCAGTTCACATGCAGGAGTACATATATATAAAAAGGCTAGACAAGCAAGAGCAGGTATATATATATGTAACAGTACAAGCAAGGTCAAGAGGTGAGCAAGTGAGGCAAGGTGGGCACAAGGCCCAGCTGAGTACAAAAGCGCTGATGGTCACAAGGCGCAAGCGCCTTGGTGAAGATATCAGTAGTGTTGGCCTCAGAGGCCACGTACGCAAGACGCAGCTGACCACGCTGCTGCAGCTCACGAGCAAGAAAGTAGTGGAGAGCAATGTGCTTCGTTCTGTGCTCCAGTCGCTGCTCCCGACACAAGGCCAGCATGGCCTTGTTGTCTACGTACAGCACTGGAGGAGAACGAGGCGGCTCTCCGAGGTCAGTTAGCAGGTAGGTGAGCCAGCGAAGCTCCTGTGCAGCCATGGCTCCTGCGTAGATCTCAGCCTCACAACTGGAGCCGAGAACAGAAGACGAGCGAGTAGCCCACCACAAAACAGAGCCGGAACCAAGGCTGAAGGTGTAACCCTGTGACGACCGCTGCGTAGCCTGGTCATCAGCCCAAGAAGCGTCTGCGTGCCCAGTAAGGACCACTGGACTCTGCCCTCCAAGCACAAGCCCCATGCCCGACGTACTGCACAAGTAGCGCAACACCCTCTTCGCTGCAGCCATGTGCTTCGGTCTGTGTTTTCCAGGAGCAACATAGCGTGCAAGAATGCTAAGAGGGTATGCAAGGTCAGGTCGAGTGCATGTCATCAGGTACATGAGGCAGCCAACAAGCTCTGGGTACGGGCCACTCGACTCTACGGACTCATCCGAAGGCAGAGCTGAGAGCGAGTGGCGAGTAGGCAGAGGAGTGGCCTGAGGCGAGGAGTACGTGAAGCCGAAGTGCTGAAGGACCTGCTGCACCATGTGTGACTGAGTCAGGGTAATGGTGCGGCGTGCTCTGTCCCGAGTGATATGCAAGCCAAGGTAGCTGCGCAGTTCACCCAGGTCTGTGCACGTGTGTCTGTTCTGCAGCTCGGACTTCACGTGGGCGAGTCCAGCAGTGTAAGCTGTGGCAAAGACCAAGTCGTCGACGTACACGAGGATGTAGAACGGCGGCAAAGAAGTGTCGGTGCGCAGAAACAGCGACGGGTCGGCAGTAGAGGGAGCAAACCCAAGAGCCGCAAGTGTAGTCCTCAGTGTGTCGTGCCACTCACGCGGTGCCTGGCGGAGACCGTAGACTAGCCGCCGGAGGCTCCACTGGGTGCCAGGAGGAAAAGACCCAATGAAACCAGGTGGGCGACGCAGCCAGATCTCCTCGTGCAGGCTGCCCTGCAAGAAAGCAGTGCTGAAGTCAAGAGAGTGTAGCTCGTAGTCACGGTGAGCAGCTATGTTTAGCAGTACCCGAAGAGTGGTCATCTTCGGGGTATGGGAGAGAAGGTCTGAAAGTAGTCAACTCCCTGCCGCTGACTGAAGCCACGAGCCACGTAACGCGCCTTGAAGACAGGCGGAGAACCCGGCGGTCGCTTCACCCTGAAAATCCACATGCCACTGACGATGTTCGCCCCAGGAGGGGGAACAGCTTCAACGTAGGTGCCTGTGGACTTCCAGGAAGCCATCTCTGCGTCCATAGCTGCCTGCCACTGAGAGGAGTAGGGACCCTCTATCGCCTCCGCGTAAGAGCGCGGAGTCGAGATGTCAAGTGCATCCGGGTCTCCCTCAGGGGTAAGCAGTACGGACACGAGATGAGGTGAAGCAGCGGCCAGACACTGGAACTCCTCCTGCCTGTCCTCAAGGACGTCCGTGCCAAGGGCACACTCACCCCCGACGGACGGAGGACAGACAGACTCAGATTCAGCAACAAGACTGGCGGCGTAGTCTAGGCGACAGCGAGCAGCAAAGTCGACGAGCTCAGCAACTAGGGCAGACGCAGCAGTGGACTCAAAGGAAGGGTCAGTGACAACAGTAGCAAGGAGACGCATGACAGTAGGACTGGCAGCACGAAGAGAGTCCGACTCCGGGTCGGCAAGAGCAGGAAGAGAAGACTCAGGAGGAGAAGGCAAAGGGGCACGCAGAGGAGCAGTGGACGGACGCAGGGAGATACGGTGCGTGCCAGGGACAGGAGGAGGACGCTGACGCGAACCGCGACCACTAGTGCGAGCAGCACAGGCAGGCGACGCAGGGCGAGACGCAGGCTCACGACGGTCAGCAAGACCTCCAGTAGGACCAGTGTCGGGAGATGGAGCAGGCAGTGGGGAGGCCGGCTGTAACTGTAACTGCGACGGGACAGGCTGTGGACACTCTAAGGGAGGAGGAGGACTAATAGAGGACGGGAGACCAAGAACCTGCTGAAGGAGCGGAACGAAGTACGGCCGAGGCCGCGCGGCGACTCCAGACACAGCAGGGACAGCACGAGCACCCCCAGTGGCAGCACCAGCACCAGTAGCAGCTCCAGCTCCAGTACCCTCAGCAGCACCAGTAGTACCCCCAGCAGGTTCGCCTCCAGGACCAACAGCAGTAGCCTCCGCGCCAACACCCGCAGCAGCTCCAGCTTCAGAAGTACCCGCAGGTCTAGCAGCCCCAGGACTCCCAGTACTAGCACCTCCGGGACCCATGGCACCAGCTCCCTCAGCAGCAACAGAACCTCTAGTACCCGCAGCACCTCTAGCTCCAGTAGCTCGCCTCCAGCGCCGGGCAAACCACTCACGCAGCTCCTGTGGAGAGAGTGGCTCCCGGCGAGAAGAAGCACCCGGAGAACCGCCAGGCACAGCACCAAGAGGCCCAGCTCCCTCAGGCTCCGCACCCCCAGGCTCAGCACCTCCAGGCGTAGCACCCCCAGGCTTAGCACCCCCAAGCGTAGCACCCCCAGGCTCAGCACCCCCAGACTCAGCACCCCCAGGCTCAGCACCACCAGTCGTAGTACCCTCAGGCTCAGCACCCCCAGGTGTAGCACCCACGCGCTCAGCACCCCAAGAGTCAGCACCCCCAGGCTCAACACCCTCAGCAGCACCAGAGTCACCAGCGACCTCGACAGGCTCAACAACGTCTACCTGGGACACACCTGAAGGGGCAGGACCCTGAGGGGGGAGGGGGTCTACCGGGGGGGGACCTGGCACAAGGAAGAGCGGTGGCGGGGGGAGGGACGGAGTGCGGTAGGGGAAGAGGCGGTAGTAGGGGACTGACTCGTCGAACGTGACGTCCGGGGAGGACAGAACACGGCGAGAGGTGGGGTGGTAGAACTGCCACCCTGGCGCGTCAGGGGGGAAACCCAGGAAGACGCAAGGAGCAGCACAACGGGATAGCTTGTCCGCAGACAAGTCGCGGACAAACGCCCGAGATCCCCAGACACGGAACGCAGACGCATCGCCAACCTTCCCCGTCCACAGCAAAGCTGGGGAGGTCTCCGGCATGGAGACCCTGGGGTGAAGGTTGATCTGATGCGCCGCGTACCGGACCGCAAACGGCCACAGAAAATGGGGGGCAGCCGCATGCATCATGGACGTACGGGCGACGTCCATGACCATGCCAATGCGGCGCTCAGCAATCCCATTTTGCTGTGGAGAGTCTGGAAGCGTGAAGGTCTGGCGGATGCCTCGTGGACGATAGTAGGCTCGCAGAAGGCCAGAGGAGAACTCTCCGCCTCGGTCAGAGTGCAGACGTAGAACAGGAAAGTCCGAGCCGAAGCTCCGCCTGAGCTGGAGACGAGCTGCGCGGATCCAGTTGATCAACACCTCAGTGACATCACCCTTGCTGCGCAAGGGGAAGACTGTGGTGTAACGCGAGTAGTCGTCAACCACCAGCAGGAAGTAGCGCTCGTGACCCTGTCCACAGACGCGGGCTGGGCCCCACACGTCCATGTGAAGCGTCTGCAGCGGGGCCTCTGTCGGAGGAAACTGGGAGGAGTGAGGGGCAGCCCGCAGCCGCCCCTCGACACAGGGGACGCAGATAGGGCCAGGCCCCGGAGGAAGGGGAGGGAGGGACCGGGGAAGACCAGAGACAAGGACACGGGAGGCCATGCCTCGGAGACAAAGCAGGGAGGGGTGACCAAGGCGGTGGTGCCAGAGGAGAGTCTCGTGAGACAGGAGGTGACACGAGCAGGGGGCAGACTCAGGAGCAGACCTGGACGCTGCAGCTAACACCTGACCCGACGCAGCTACCTGACCAGACGTAGGGACTGGAGGAGACGCAGTGGTCAGTGTGTACAGGCTCGACCCCGGCCGACGTGTAAACGTGGCCAGGTGTCGGCCTGTCCGAGCGTCCGTGCAGTGGGTCACCCGCTGACTCGCAGGAGTGAACTGGTGAACCCCCGCATCCTGTAGGTCAACACCACTCACCAAGTTCGTAAAGAACGAGGGGAGGTAAAGACCAGACAGGGTGCCAGAGGGGGCCGCTGGACACGGGAGGAGAGTGGAGAAGTGAGCAAGGACAAGACCCCCAGAGGGGTCTGCAAGGGAGACTACAACCGGCCGACCAAGCGGCGTGAGTGTGGTGCGGTCTCGAAAGAAGGAGCGAGAAGCCCCTGAGTCAAGTGTGAAGGTGTGGGAGGCCGAAGCCGACCCAGTACCTGAGAGGGCAGACTCACCAGTACCGGAGGAAGCAGACGCACTAGCACCTAGAGCAGCAGCCTCGCTAGCACCAAGAGCAGCAGCCTCACTAGCACCTAGAGCAGCAGTCGCAATGCCCGGGTCGGGCGGGAAACACCGGCAACAGTCA